TCTCTCTCTCTCTCTCTCTCTCTCTCTCTCTCTCTCTCTCTCTCTCTCTCTCTCTCTCTCTCTCTCTCTCTCTCTCTCTCTCTCTCTCTCCTCAGGGATCGCCCTCTCTGAATGCCTTCCTCACTCTCTCATGTTACTACGACTATGGTCCCCATTGCCGTTGACTACAGCTACTCGACTGCACATTTCACTTAACGTCTGGCCGCAGATTTTGACACACACTGCTGCTGGACTTCTGTTTTCGACTCTTGTTTTCTTAATATAAAAAAAAAGAGGTCCAGGGTGTAGTAGAGTGTGGTGGTCAGGTCTTGGGAGGTGCCCGTAGTACTCATCCATTGGGAGGTCAGATGTGTTGCGAGGACCTATCCATTGGGAAGTCACCTCAGGATGGCACCATGATGGTACCATGACCTAGGCTAATGCTCAGACCGCAAGTCATGTTCTGCACCAACGCTTACCGGACTATCATCGTTGAACTGAGTGGGCCCAGGTGATTCAGAATGGTTTTATTCTAGTCATCTGGTTGCATCCGGTTTCGAACTCGGATCTGCATGTCAACAGTTCATGGGTGTACCAACTGAGGTAGGCCCATTGGTACTTTGTGTGGACTCTTCAGTTCCGCAACCTCAGACTTTCTGGACCGGTACTGTGGCATACTGAGCCACACGGGCCCCAGTTAGGGCCCGGTTCCCAGCAGGCAGGGTAGGCCTAGGGGGACGACGGTTCAGACCAGGCCGAGATAGGCCTGAGGCAGGGCGCGTTTAGGCCCAAACGGCCAGAGGCCGGTACCGGTCCAGCCCAGGACCAACAGGCGGCGTTTCAGAGGCTGCCACATTTTGGCGCCAAACCCAGTTTGAATCTGGACCATCGATTCAGATCAACGGTCCAGGCCGGTAGGTACCAGCAGGCAAGAGGCCGGCCCAGCACTACAAAAGACTGGGTACCAGCCTCAGTCCGGTAGGTTAGCATGGACGGGGTTAGTCTTCAGGATTAGCGCAGCAGCGAGGAGCAGCGAGGGAGCAAGGTTCAGCGGAGAGAGGATTAGCGCAGCACTGGGCGCCTCGCCAGTTACCGGCCCAGCCTCCCTTTGCAGCGCCATAGCCAGGTACCAGGGAGGAAGGATTCGCCTTCTCTCCCTCCTCTCCTCTACCGCTTCTCTCTCTCTCTCTCTCTCTCTCTCTCTCTCTCTCTCTCTCTCTCCTCCTACCTTCTAAGTATACTTCTACTTCTCCTACGGGACTACTGCAGTATGGGAGATGGTTACGAACTCTGATGACATCTGGGACAGCGATATTGAGACAACGAGTTGAGGACTATATTGGGATCTGATTTCATCTTCCTTTCTTGACATTGTGAGATCGACATCTGGATATTGTGAGGCTTGTCATTCGCGACATTTCGGATTTTCGTCACTTCTGACAGTTCAAGATACTATCTTTGGAAACATTGAGTTGACGTCATCTTCTGTTACATGCAGCGCGTGCACACACGGGCCATTTTGCAGGCCCGATGGTTTTCAGGCCAAAAGCCTGAATTTCAGGCCGAAAGCCTGAAATCCAGGGCTTATAGGCCCCATGTCAATTCAGGCCGAAAGCCTGACTTTCAGGGCCTACAGGCCCTGCGACGGTTCAGACTAAAAATGGTAATAGCATTTTTAGCCTGAACCCAAGGGCCATTTTCGGTCGTTCATCAGAACGACYGGCCCTGAAACTCAGGCACCGAACCAGGGTTTTGGGAACAGCCTATATATAGACTGTTCCCACGCCAGCCTCAGCAGGCTGCTGCACACCAGCCCCTGGCACACTTCGGCATTGGCAAGAGCTGCCTCCTCAGCCTGCTCGCCCTCCTGCAGTCAGAAGGCAGGCCGAGGAAGTACTTAGGGACTTCCCAGGCACTTCACGGGTAGGCAGTCGGTCAGTTGTAGTCTTCAGGATTCGGGAGCAGCACTCTGGAGGGAGCGCTGTAGTAGTAGTGGTAGCGTTAGCTTGTAGTCTTCAGCGCTGGGCGCAGTAGGTAGCTGTAGTCCCCAGCGCTGGGCGCCATAGTTAGATAGTGGTAGAGAGAGATTGGGCGGAGGCCAGGAGTACTTACCTGCAGCGCCGTTGCTCCAGCTTCGTCTTCGAGGTACCTGCAGCACAGCGCCAACAACATCACAGGTTAGTACCTGGTTCGTAACAGTGAGAGAGAGAGAGTTCTCTTCTTCCTCTTCTCAGTCCACCATCTTCTTCTACCCCTCTCCACATCTGACTTMCCTGSAGTTGCAGACTACGAGAGAAGAGATACCGAGCTTGGTGACATTGGACCCAGACTCGACTTTTGGGGACTTCAGACATGGTGACGAGGGATTATTTGGGATTGGTGACCAAGACTTGGTGTTAACGACATTCCCATCTCTCTACCTCCTTTCGTCTGATCCTTTCCTCTTCGTCTGTGTATGTCTGGACCTGGCGCTTTCTTCTTGTGTGCAGCACCAGGGTCCTTCACACTGAGTGATGGATACAATGCATGTGTAGTCTGAGTTCAAACATTGGTTGGGCTAGATGATAGTGTTCTAGCCCTCTGCTTCGCTACTTGATACTTACGTGAATGAGGTCAGTCCCAGTCAGGTCAGTCTTTGTATCAAAGTCTTCCCTGCGCTCTTCAGCATCTTTATGTATGAATGAGAATGGACATTGCTTGACGAGATTCTACTCGTACCGCATTGTCTATTCAGTCCTTTTCATCACATTGCAGATTCTCGGTTTATTGCATACATTGCATATCTGTGCATGTAACAGTTGGTATCGGAGCTTTTGCACGTGAATCAGGACGATCTGATCTGACACGTGTGCGGGGATCAAAAAGCTAGTTAGTCTTTATTGCTTGATTAGAGCATACTAGTTAGACCCCTAGATCACGATTTTGACCTCACTACCGAAAATCGGATTTTTTTTCTTTTCTTGGATTTTATTTTCTCGCTATTCTGTGGTGGAAAATCGCAATATCGCAACATCTGAAATTCCCATTTTCGTTTTGTTTCTGAAAATTCGAAAGTTCGTTGTTGAAAATCCGGAATATATTTCTTTTTGAAAGTTTCGATTTCCTGTTGCATTTCCCGTTACTTAGAACTTCGGAATATCTTCTTTTCTGAAATTCGTTTTTCTAAAAACAATACGGGAAATCCCTCCTGCACGTATTATTTTCCAAACTGCGAATATTCCCATCGGAATAAATCCGAATACTTGTCATTTCTATTCGGACTTCTTTCGCAGTTCTTGGACTCTGTCAGTTGGTTCTACAAATCGGTTGCAGTTCAAAGTCGAATTTTTTTTTTCTGCTTTTAGTGATCATTCGAACTTCAAGGGAGGTTGGGAGACCTACCGAACTTGCAAAAATCGGGATTTTTATTTTCTCGAAATTTTTTTTTGCAAAGTTCAAACTTTTCTACTTTGATTAGTGGCTCCTTATCTAAGTGTGAGTTGGGCGATTATCCCACCCACCCCTCCCCACCTATGTTGTTGCCATCTCTTGCCTTATCTGCTCTGTGTGTCTCCGGGTACCCCTTGTGACGGCATTGGTAAGTTGCCACGTCAGCAGGCCACGTCAGCAGGCTACGTCAGTACGTCAGCAGGCCACATCAGCAGACCACGTCAGCAGGACACGTCAGCAGGACACGTCAGCAGTGCCACATCAGCAGCAAGGGATACCACATCAGCAGGTCCGGTCTGGTCTATGCTGTTGCGTTCACAGACAGCAGTCATGGACCAGAGGGCCGGGGAAACAGACGAGGCCTATCAGGCTCGCATGTTAGCCTGGAGTACGGAGACTAAGAAACGAGCAGATGACGCTGCGGCTGCAGCGAAGAAGAAGGCAGAGGATACCGAGCAGGCACGGCTGCTGGCAGTTGAGCAACAGCGCCAGCATGCCGAGGCAGCAGCAAGGGCTGCCGATGAAGAAAGAGCCCAGCGTCGTGAGATGATATTTACCGGAGAGCGGGCATTACTTACCATGGCAGCGGAATGGCGGACCGAGGCCGAGAATAGCCAGTTGGAGGATAGCGTAAACAAGATAGCGCTCCTCCTCTCGCATCTCACGGATCTCCTGGCAACCTGCATTACACAGCAGGCGGAGATCCTTGGCCTCGACAACTCGGTAGCTCATCTCCAAGACCGCCTTCAGCGGTTGGACCAGCGACCAGTCGCCGCCGCCGACGCAAGCTCTTCCAACACTGCCGACCGCCTCAACGCACTGGAGTTGGACGTCGGCTCACTCAAGGATGGCGCGCAAGTACAGCAGACCGCAACGCAACAATTGCAACAGCGGCTCGGCACTACGGCCACCACCTCGAGTCCGGAGCCGCACGAATCAGCTCCTAAGTTCGATGGGCAGGAGATCTTCTGCGATTCAATCAAGACAGATCCAATTCCATGGTTTCGCAAGTTCGAGCTCACACTGCAGCTCCAAAACGTCAAGGAACACAAGCATCACGCCTACTTGTACTCTCGCCCATGGACCCCGTATGGCATCTCCAACACTGTCGACCGCATACAAGGCGCGCGAGAGATTCCACTATTGCCTTTGGTGCAACAACGATCTTCATCAGACGCAGGGTTGCCCATTGAAAGGCAAGGGGAGACAGGGAAACTGAGCACCGCCGAGAGTGATGCGACGACACTCTCGACGCCTTCGGAACTGGTTTCTTCGCGAGTAACCAGCCTTCATTCCGAGGCGCATGCGGAAGTCGACAGTCCTCCGCTTCTACTTTCTTTTGAGGACTATGCTGCCCGGCTCGTTCCAACAGTGGGTACTCAAGCTCAAGGACAAGGAGTGTGTGCGGTTTCTTCTCCGTCCGGCAACAGCGACATATCGTCTTCAAGTGGTTCGTCACGGGATTCGGTGCGCGAGTTCAATATACAGGCATTGGACCTGCTCACATCTGAGGACTTTGCATGGCTTCCTCTCCCGACCACAGACTGTTTGCCGGGACCGCAATGCGCAGCACTTAGCGCTCATCTCCACACTAACCTTTCCTTCTATGCACCACCAACTTCGCCGACGGATGACGAAGTCGCGGTGGGGGACATCCTGGCATATACTACCAAGGTGGCCCGCGAGTTTTGCACGCAGTGGTACGATAACAACAATGCACCGCTCATGTATGTCCGCATCCAGGTTGGGCAAGCGTCCTGCAGCGCTTTGCTGGATAGCGGCGCGACTCGCAACTTCATGAGCCAATCCTTTATGCAAAGGGCTGGCCTTGGCGCACAAGTTCGGAGGAAGGCAAACCCGACGGCAATCAAGTTGGCGGATGGAAAGACGCAACAACTTCTCGACCGTTACATCGAGGCCGTACCGTTCTACTTCGCACCTCATGCATGCGAACCGGTAACATTCGATATTCTCGATATGGACTTCGACATCATTCTGGGAATGCCTTTGCTTGCAAGTGCGGATCACACGGTCAACTGGCATCGGCGGACTCTTAGCGTTCGCGATGCCTTCGGCGCGGAAGTGGCGTGTACTATTCCTCTACCGCACCCTTCGATCCGGTGCCGAGTGGTGACGGCCAAATCGTTCCGGGCGACTTGCGCTTACGAGCAGCCCGAGGAGTTCGGCCTATGTTTCCTACGGACCGTCGCGGTAGCAGACTCTTCACCCACAGACTTGTCCTCGGACCCCCGTGTGGTGCGGTTGCTGGACGAGTTCGCCGACATCTTCGAGTCACCTACCAGTGTGGTGCCAGAATCGGCCGATCTCTCACGAGATCATTCTTGAGGCCGGTGCCGTGCCGCCGAAAGGTTGCATCTATCGGATGAGTGAGAAGGAGTTTGAGGTACTCCGCGCACAACTCGACGATTTGTTGGCCAAGGGCTGGATCCGCCCGAGTAGCTCCCTATATGGAGCACCAGTTCTCTTCGTCAGGAAGAAGAACAAGGATCTACGATTGTGCATCGACTACCGCAAGCTCAACGCGCAAACCGTCAAGAATGCGGGGCCTCTTCCTCGCATCGACGATCTTCTTGAGCGACTGGGCGGTGCAAAGTATTTTTCCAAGTTGGATTTGAAATCAGGATATCATCAAATCTCGATCCGGCCGAATGATCGCTACAAGACCGCGTTCAAGACGTGGTACGGGCATTTGGAGTGGGTGGTCATGCCTTTTGGCCTCACCAACGCCCCGACAACCTCTCAGGCGGCTATGACCAATGAGTTTCGTGCAATGTTGGACCGGTTCGTGCTGGTCTACTTAGACGATATTCTCGTCTATAGCCGGTCATTGGAGGATCATCTAAGGCATCTTCGACGAGTGTTGGAGACGCTCCGCCGCGCCAAGTACAAGGCCAACCGCGACAAGTGTGAATTTGTGCGGCAGGAGCTGGAATACTTGGGCCATTTTGTCACACCGGAGGGCATCAGTCCGCTATCGGACAAGATTCAGGTCGTCTCGGAGTGGCCGGAGCCTCGGAACGTCACGGATGTTCGCTCGTTCCTCGGTCTTACAGGCTACTATCAACACTTCATCAAAGGCTACTCCAAGATCGCGGCCCACTTGAACAAGCTTCAGTGCGAGGATCGGCCGTTTGACTTTGGAGAGGAGGCGCGGGGATCATTCCTCGCTCTCAAAGCCGCGCTATTGTCTACAGAGGTCTTGCGAATCTACGACCCGCTCGCGCCTACGCATGTCACTACGGATGCGTCAGGCTATGGCATTGGTGTAGTCCTTGAGCAAATGATGGTGTGGACTGGCACCCGGTTGAGTATTTCAACAAGAAAGTGCCCGCCGTGCATTCCATCGACGATGCACGCAAGGAGCTCCTCGCCTTCGTCCACGCGCTCAAGCGGTGGCGGCATTTCCTCCTTGGTCGAAGCCAATTTCGCTGGGTAACGGACAACAATCCGTTGGTCTTCTACAAGACCTAGGTCACCATCAACAGCACCATCGCTCGATGGATGGCTTTCATCGACCAGTTCGACTTCTTCCCCGATCACATTCCCGGGAAGTCGAACCGTTTTGCGGATGCTCTTTCACGGCGTCCGGATCACTGTACCGCGGTCTACTCAACCTTCAAGATCGACGACGACTTGCAGAACAGCTTCATCCGCGGCTACCAAGCCGACCCCGATTTTCGCGACAAGTACGCGAATTGCTCCTCTCCTAATCCGGCTCCTTCTCACTACCGGATCCAAGAGGGATACTTGCTTGTCCACACGAGGGGGAAGGACCTTCTTTGCGTACCAAGTGATCCTCACTTGCGTACCCGGCTTCTTGGCGAGTTTCAAGATGCTCCCGCTACCGGACATTTTGGAGTCGATCACACGATTGGCCGACTTCGCCAGCGATTTTGGTGGCCCGGCCTTCTCGGCGACGTCAGGCGCTATTGCGAGTCWTGCGAGGTTTGCCGACGCTGCAAATCCCGCAACCATCGTCCGTACGGCGAGTTACAACCATTGCCAGTCTCGTTGAGGCGAAGGGAAGCGATTGCCATGGACATCACCGGCCCGTTCCCCAAGCACAAGACCGGAGTGGATGGGATTCTCACGGTGGTCGACCGACTCACCAAGTTCGCCATGTTTTTGCCTTGTCGCTATCATGCCAAGGCACCGGAGTTGGCCGAGGTTTTGTACCCCGGTTGGATTCGCACCAAGGGTTACCCCAAGGAGATCGTCTGCGACCGCGACACTCGGTTCATGTCCGATTTTTGGTTGGCGCTCATCAAGCGATGGGGCTCATCTCTCAAGCCCAGTTCAGCTTGCCACCCTCAGACCGATGGCCAGACGGAGAGGGCGCATCAGACCGCACAGGTTCTCCTTCGCACTCTCATCCGCCCCGACCAGAAAGACTGGGTTGAGCGACTGCCGGAGGTTGAGTTGGCCTACAACTCTTCCATCCACCCGGCTATTGGGATATCGTCCTTCGAGTTCGAGCACAGCTCGCCGGTCACGTCACCGTTGGACACGATTACTCCACGCACGGCCGAGAGCGACGACCATCTTCTTTTCTTGCGTCGGATGCAAGAGCTTCTTGTCGAGGCACGCGACCAGATGGCTAAGACGCAACAGCGCATGAGCCAGCAGGCAAATCGCCAGCGTCTTCCTTGTCCATTCTGCGCCGGGGACCTCGTCTAGGTTTCAGCAGCGGAATTCAGCCTTGAACAAGACATCTCTCGCAAGCTCCTTCCGAAATGGATGGGGCCTTGGCCGATTATTGAGCCTGTTGGGGACGCACCTGAAGGACCTTCCTTCACGATTCTGGTGCCTAGCCACTTGCCCGTCTACCAAGTCTTTCATTGTTCCGAATTGGCTCTGTGCGAGCCAGCGACCGGTGTCGGGACTGGTGAGTCCTGAATGATTTCCCGTCACTCGAGAGACTGTATTTGACCAATTTGTGCACGACAGAGAAAATCGGAGGCAGGAATGTTCGAAAGACCGAAAGCGTGAGTACAGACAGTGGGAGGTTAGAAGCTGTCCGGAGTCGTCAAGACCGCCAAAGCTAAAGAGGAATTGTCTAAGCCGGAAGCGGCAAAGGAATGTGAGAGAATAGCAGGAGCGACTCTTTTCCCAAGGACGGAGAAGGGCCGCCGGGAAGTCGGTAGTAGCACAGGGGGTGCGCAGCAAAGGGAGGAAGGAAAGAAGGAAGGGACAGGGCGCAAGGCGCCGGCGCGACGCGGCGGCAGGGAGGCCAAGGAGATCGCAGGTTAGGTGGGAACCGGCATCCGAAAGGGAACAGCATGTGGGACGCAAGGGGGAATGGGGAGCGGAGATAACCGTAAGGCGGAAGGACGCCAGGAGCACCAAGGGAAGATATGGCACAGGCAGGGCAAAGTGTCGGGACCACAAGGAACTAAGAAGAAGTGCGGTGCCGACGGAACTAGGCGTCGGGGACCACGCGAGACCAAGGGACGGCGTGATATCGGCAAGGCGAAGTACCAGGAACCGTGTAAGACCAAGGGATAGACGAAGCGTGGGCGGACCAAAGCGCCAGGAACCACGTGGGACTAGACAGGATGGCGGCGCCAGCAGAACCACTGGTAGGGCGGGTATCGATGGGATAAAGCGTCGGGATCCGCGGACGGGGGCCGGAGGTCGGAGCCGTCGGCAAGATAGTTGGCAACCGGCCCGACAGAGGGACGCGCGCGAGCGGGTCGTCACCCGGGGTGACTAGGAGTGGTAAGAAAAGGAGGAGAAATCGGGCGCTGATAGAAATTGTCAACGAAATGGGGGGGGTGCGACGAACATGTGACGGGAAAGACGGAGGGCACCTGGGGCGACCCAGGGGGATCCTGGATCCAATGCAACGACAACGATAAAAATAAACTAACATAACATCAGGAGGACGGGACCATCCAGGCCAGGGGTCCGGATGAAAATGATGAGTACCGCCGCGACAAGCGCCGGCAGGAGGTGTCGAGGGGAAAAAAGAGGAGGGATAGTAGTAATGAGGGGGCCGGCCAGCAGTCCGAGTATCCCGGATCGGCCAGGCCAAGAAAAACGAAGTTCTGAGGGTTCCACGTGGAAAAAAGGCTGGCCAGAGAAAATCGAAGCAAGGGGTCCCAAACGGGAAGCGGCGGCAGCAAAAAGGAGCCCCCTTTGGCCTTGGGGATGCCGCTACTGCAGTCCAAAGTGCAACGGCCAGGTACCGGCTACAAAAACAAACCTTGCGTGAAGTCCAACAGCCAGAAAGAGGAGAAATAGTTGTTGGACACTTGTCCCTACAGCAATAAACAAAAATAAAGAAAAATGCTGATGTGAGTTGACCGGCTCATTTTTGAGCCTTAGATCTGAGATCTGATCTTGCGGAGGAGGAGATCTAGCCGTTTTTTGTGGGCTGACAGAAAACGGCTAGCTCCGGAATGAGTTGGCAGCAAAATGGAGGGAAAACAAAGAGAGGGACAAGACAAAACTGCGAATTTGGCCCAAGGTTTGGGCCAGGTACATCAAAAAAATTGAAAATTGGGGCAAAGGACTCAAATTTGGAGCAAGGGGAGCTTG